CCTCCTCCTCCTCCTCCTCCTCCTCCTCCTCCTCCTCCTCCTCCTCCACTCCCTCCTAGCACTGATGAAGTTTAGTTGGGTAATGAAACATCAAGCACCCTATACTTCTCCTCCTCCTCCTCTTCCTCCTCCTCCTCCTCCTCCTCCTGATGATGTTACCTAGGTTGATAATCAAACATCTGCAAGAAAATAACCAAGATTAGAGAGCACCAAGGACTCCATCCATCTCCTCCTCCTCTTCCTCTTCTCTGGCAATCCTACTCCCTTCTAGTTCTAAAGATGTTACCTACTAACATCTGCAAGGAAACCACCAAGCTTAGACAGCACCAAGGCCCTACAGTTCTCCTCCTCCTCCTCCTTCTCCACAAACCCCTCTCCCTTCTAGCACTGATGTTTAGTTGGGTAATGAAACATCAAGCACCCCATACTTTTCCTCCTCCTCATCCCTCCACAAGCCCTCTTCCCTTCTACCACTGCTGGTGTTACCTAGGTTGGTCATCAAACATCTGCAAGAAAATAACCGAGATTAGAGAGCACCAAGGACTGTGTACACCTCCTCCTCTTCCTCTTCTCTGCCAATCCTACTCCCTTCTCGTTCTAAAGATGTTACCTAGTTGGGTAATAAAACATCTGCAAGAAAACCACCATGCTCAGAGAGCACCAAGGACCCCACAGTCGCTCTCATTCCTACACAGTGTGGTGGTAAGGATGGAAGTCTACCATGCTTGCAAGAACCTTAAGGTCGGAGAACACTCAGCTGAGTTGAGGCCCGCTTGCCTTTCCACCAGGCCTGACATCTCCTTTCTCTTCTTCCAGATACTAACGCGGGCTTGTTCCTGGCCTATCAGAAACAAACCGCCTTGTACCATGATGAGTTACTGGAGAAACTGAGGAAGATGAACGAGACTTTTGGGCTGGTCCTTCAAACCATGGAGAAGATGGAGACCAAGGTGGAAGGGCGTTTACAACACATCCAAAGATTCATAACCTGGGCAGGTAAGGTTACCTGTGAGCAACAGGCCTGCAATCAGTTGAAAAGAGGCACAGAAACCACAGGATATGTCATAGAAGACAACATGGCCGCTACCACGGGCACAACTGAAGCTCCGCCTGGGTTTATGTGTGTGGTGACAACCTCACTGAAAGGAAAGTTATCTTATTGTTACTTATTAATTAATATGTAATCTACAAGAGATAAGGAATACTTGCCAATTATTATTTATTATTGTTTGTGTTAAGCCTGAATTCCCCAACGAGTGTTAAGGAAAACAAACTAAACAGAATGTGTAGCGTAGTCAGATAGGCAGACAGGTAAATGTGTGAGATAAGTTTGTATTTTAGTTAACACGCAGTAAAAAACAGATACGCTTGTGCTATCAAAAATATAGTTTATTCCATTAGGAATTATAGCATAGTCAAAATATACGGTCCATTAGTCATGTATCATTTCAGTCAGTCCAGTCGGGGATACTCAATTTGCAAAGTCCGTGTTGAATAGCCAATGTCAGTTCACTTACAATAAATCAGTCCGTATTTTCTCTTCTCTCCGTTGAGAAATAAACACTCCTTTCTCACCTCTGTTCCAGTAAGGAAAAACGCAGTCATCAATCCATCCAGTAATTAGGGATCATTAAGCCAGAGAGAGTGAGCTGCAATTGACTTGCTTCTTTTATGGTGCTTTTACAACCACACCCTTAATTACATTCTTGTAGTTAAAGTTACACACACTTTAACCAACAAACCATGATAACTTATTTATTATTTTTTACCCAAACCAGTTAGAGTAAACAATGTTATCCCTAACAGTTTATTATGAAATACCCAATCTATTATTGAATGTAATAGAAAGAAATAGGTATAGCGTTCTATTTACACATTTTTTTATTTCTGTATAATTGTATGTTTGTGTTTTTTCTATTTTTTTTGTAAATAAAATATATTTTAAAATTTGAAAAAAAAAAAAAGGAAAGTTATCTCTCTCCTACATCATTTTTTCCCCCTCCACCTTAGCAACTTGGAGGTGTTTGGATTTTAACTCCCAAAATTTCCTCAGCTGCCATGGAGGGGAAATCACTGATCTACAATTTTGGTTGGTTTGCTGAAAATCCGCCTTGGATTCAAAAACAAAAGAGTTGAATTAATAAGGGAAGTTAGACCCCCCGCCAAAAAAAATGCTTTATAATCCAACATTGTTCAAATATTCTCAAAGGAACAAGAAGGAATACATCATCACCAAATCATCTTTCCAGATTCTAAGGTTCCATGAAAAAAAAGGCCCGTGTACAATGTGGACAAACACACAAGCCGTTTGTAGCTAGCTACACTGCACACAGATACCCTGGTGTAGTGTAAACTACTCTAGCTATATTACACAGCACTAGCACAGATAACGTTGCCAAATTTGCTAATGTTTACAAGAAAACGATCTAGCTCAGAGAACACCAAGGACCCACAGCTGTTGTGGTTGTCCTCCTCTTTGCAAACCCTAACCCCTTTCAGCACTGATGATGTTACCTAGTAGGGTCATGAAACGTCTGCAGGAAAACCACCAAACTCAAAGAGAACCAGGGACTCGTGCTCCTTCCCCCTTTCCTCCTTGTCCTCCTCCTCTTCCTCCTCCTCCTTTTGC